CAGCCGTCATTGTTGTTTGGCGGGTCCGGGCTGGGGATTCGAACCCACCACCTTAGGTGTACGTGGCTGGCGCCTTAGCCAGTTGAGCTATAGGCGCTGAGCCACTCTCTATTTTTTCTTTATGTAAATGTTATAGTAGCATACATATCCATGTCCTGGGGTTTACTATTTTACTTTACAACATAGCTTAGAGACCTTTTCAGATTAGTATGTATAAATCTACATGATTACTTTTAGTTAACACATACTTTTCCATGGTATGTGTAAACCATAAACTACAGTTGATCAATGACTTCTTTTTTTTTCCCGTTAAATATTATCTGCAATCTTATTATCACTAACCATACATTCAAATTCAGGGTTTTGAGGTTTTCCAGAAAAGAGAGCTATTGTATATTTAGTGCAACCAGGAACATGACAGACTCAGCAGCAAACCACCAACCTAGCTACTCACTCTAATAATCAAAGGAATCCTTCCATATTTTTTAAAATGATCCCAGTAGGGACATCATAAGTAAAGGAGTATCAGAGAATATTACTATAGGGGATGGATCATAAACTTGTAAAATATAATTTTTAGCTCTCAGTTACTTTGCTTTTTGCTATTAATATAGTTAACTACAAAAAGAGAAACAGGTTAGTAATACTACTAAAAAATATCCATGAAAAACTTTAAAATTAACACAATCTCAATATTAGTTTTTAATTGACATAGAAAAATTGCATATATTTATGTACACCTTATTTTGAAATATATATACATTGTGGAATGGCTCAATTGAGCTAGTTAACGTACACATTACCTCATATACTTTGTGTGGTAATAACTTCTAAAATCTACTCTTAAATGATTTTTAAAAAATACAACACATTGTTCTTAATTACAGTGAATGCTGCATGGTAGATCTCTCCAACATTCCTACCTAAGTGAAATTCTGTATCCTATAACCAACATCCCCTGACCCTCCGGTATCCACATTTCTACTCTGCTTCTAGGAGCTGAATTTTTAAGATTCCACATGTAGGTGAAACCATGAAGTATCTGTCTTCCTGGACCTGCCTTTGCCATTTTTCACTTAACATAGTGTCCTCTAGTTCATCCCTGTTGTCGCAAAAAAAAAAAAAAAAAAAAAAAGATTTCTTTCTTTTTTAGGGCCAAATAGTATTTGTCCATACTATTTTTAGTGGACTGAAACTATATCCATTCTAGTAACAGTATGCTTTGACAGTGGCTCACTGCAAGATGTTGTAGTAGAAACCTGTAAATTAAGCAACTGTTTCTTGTGATATGTGTCATTTTCCTGGTTGGTGTGCTTTGCCAGTGGTTTTCTTAGGCAGTTCTTGAATTCTTCAATTCCTTCTCCAGTAATTGCAGATATAGGGATGATATGTTGGAACTCCATAGTCCTCTCTTGGATTCTCTCTTTTTCCCAGATAAATGCAGAAAATCTTTAGGATTCTGAAGCTGGTTCACCAATGCCTGGAATTTATCTTGGCCATCTGGCAAATACATTTTATTAATTACCAGGAGGGCAGGTTTTGTCTAAAGTTCCTCTTTGTACAACTCCAACTCTTTTGTAAGCAGTATTCTAGTTTCAAAAGCAGTTCTGTGTTGACTTTTGGAAGAAAGCTGAAATCCACAAATGTCAACAACAAAAAGAAGTTGTCTAGTTCTTGCTATATGCTTCAGGGATTTGTGGCCCATTCCTATGTTCAAATGTGCTCCTTCTTTCTGTTAAAGCTGGAAGGTCAGTTCCTGATATCTGTTTGAAATCATTATACAGAGTCTTTCCAAGTTCAGGCTTTAATGTTGTAAATGTATAATCTGCAATTGCAGGTTTTGCATGAGAAACTTGACTTAGCAAAGAGGATTTTCCAGCTTTTGGGAATCTTACTAGGTTGACATCACCTATAAGTTTTATTTTATTTATTTATTTATTTATTTATTGAGACAGAGGCTTAAGCTGTTGCCATGGGTAGAGTGCCGTGGCATCACGGCTCACAGCAACTTCCAACTCCTGGGCTCAAGCGATTCTCCTGCCTCCACCTCCCAAGTAGCTGGGACTGCAGATGCCTGCCACAACACCCGGGTATTTTTTTTTTTTTTTAAGTTGCAGCCATCATTGTTGTTTGGTGGACCCGGGCTGGATTCGAACCCACCAGCTCAGGTGTATGTGGCTGACGCCTTAGCCGCTTGAGCCACAGGTGCTGACCCAGCTATAAGTTTTAGATCAAGATGAATTATTTGTTTCTGCCCTTTCATTGGTAAGAAATTTGTAAGTACTTTACCACCGAGACCTCCTTCAGCTACCAAAATTCTATCCCCTTATTAATTGAATTCTCCTATAATTTTACCATTTTCATCAGTTATTGAAATACCCACAGGTACAGGGATTTCTTAGTCCTTTCCTTTGGAGCCTTTCTGTTCACTAAGTTATTTGCTCCTCCTTCGGTCACAAATTGTTTCTGGGGTTATTTGTCTTTAAGTTGTCTTAATGTCATTTTTGGTGGGTTACAACCCAGACATCACTGCCTCTTCCACCTTCTCCACCTAAATGAGGATAACCCATCCCACCACTTCCTCCCTTAGGTTATCAATGAAACTTCCATACTTTCTCAACAACACGCAACCTGTATACAACATGACTGCCCAGCCTGGATTCCCTCCCGCCGAAGCTGTAGGAACTTGATTTAATGATTTCTTTATTAATAAATATTTATTTTATTTTTTGAGACAGAGTCTTACTCTGTAGCTGCTGGGTAGAGTGCCATGGTGTCATCATAGCTTTCAGCAACCTCAAACTCCTGGGTTTGAGCAATCCTTTTGGCTCAGCCTCGAGAGTAGCTGGGATGACAGGTGCCCACCACAACCCCCGGCTAGTTTTTCTGTGTTTTAGTAGAGACAGGGTCTCACTCTTGCTTAGGTTGGTCTCCAGCTCCTGAGTTTAGGCAATCCACCTGCCTCGGCCTCCCAGAGTACTAGGATTACAGGTGTGAGCTGCTACGCTCGGCAGCACAAGAGAATTAATTTAAATGTTCATTAATAGGCCTGGCGTGGTAGCTCATGCCTGTAATCCTAGCACTCTTGCCTCTGGAGTACCATGGTGAGACTCTGTCCCCCCCACAGAAAATTTTTTTCTTATGGTTATAAGTGGTGCATTGAAAATCCTTTTAGGAACCTCTTTTGATTGTGTGCAAGTATTTCTGTAGAATTGATGCCAAGGATGGAATTCTTGTGGTATTTATTTAAAAATAAATCTTATTATATATGTATTTAAGGTATACAGCATGGCGTGTTACCTGATACGTAATAGTAAAAAGGCACTGTAGTGACGCAAATTAACATAAAGTTTCACATATTTTAAAATGTCCCATGTAGTCAGGTTTTCCTTCACAAAGGTTGTATCACTTCCTACCCCTTCTAGTTATTTCTCAAAGTATCCCTCTTCAACAATTACAATAATATTTTAACTTTTGTTAAACTGATGGTTGAAAACTTGTTTTCTGTTTAAATTTGCACTTTCTGATTACACGTGAAGCTGCCCTTTCCTTGTTTCCTGGGCACTTGGTTTTCATTTGTATAGTTGTTGTCCTGTATCCCCTGTTCACGTTTCCTCTGGCTTTGCCTTTCCCGCCTGATTTGTAGGTATTTATTCTGGATCGCAGACCTCTGCGTGTGTTATTTGGAAAACCCATTTCTTATTGCAAAGCTGTGAGTGTGTTCTTGTCAATGCCGAAGCTCTTCTTCTCCTTTCCCTTTCTTCTTTTCTTTCCCACCCCTCATTACCCACTCGTGTATTTGCTTAGTGCACATTTCTTGGATACCTGCTAAGAGCTAGAGACTGTGCTTAATTGAGAGGGTTACAGAGAGGAAAGTCACCTGCCATCAAATATCTTAACAGTGCACAGAGAGAAACAAGTATCCACAGATACTTAAAATTCAGTGTGATAATTGCAAATAGATGTGCTCCATCTGCAGGAGAAAATGGTGCTGGGGAGGATGTTGAGTGCTAGGCCTGGCATGTGCGGATTCACTGAGCAGGAATGCTAAGGCAAGGAGATGACCCTTAACTATGGGGGTGCATTCTGAGAAATGTGTCCCTGGGTGGTTTCGTCACTGTGCAAACTTTGGAATGGTGTACTTACACACCTAGATGGTATACAGACAGTCTGCTACACACCTAGGTGACGATATAGCCTACTGTTGCTATTATTGCCCTGATACTGGAGGCAGTTGTAACACAGTGCTGGTATGTGTGCATCTAAACATACCTAAACAGAGAGAAGGTACAGTAAGAATACGGTGTTACAGTCGTGGGACCACCATCTTACGAGTGGTCTGGCCTGGGCTGAAATGTCTGTAGGTGGGGTTGCGGCGTAGGGGGTCAGTAGGCAGCTTTGCGAATCTCTGAAGTTTCTGTTTGAGCTTGTGTAGATCATGGGGCCTTTAGGTTGTTAATGCCTAGCTTGCGAGAGGGTGATACTCTTCTGGGCCAGTCAGCACAGACTGGAAGTTACTTCACTTCTTTTGAGTTCCCTCTGCTCCTGGAACCTGGAGATTTTTCTTGCGCGTGGTGTATGTGTGTGTGTGTGTGTGTGTGTTGTGTGGGGGTGGAAGAGGTCTCCTCAGAATTTTCTTTTGGCAGCTATCTCTTCAACTATGGGTGATTTCTTTTGGAAAGTCTTAGAATTTGTGTAGTTTATAAAAGGAGGGTTTCTGTGTCAACACAGTGTGTTACGTTACTGTAGGTAGAACCACACCGTATTTTGTCTGTTGCAGCTAAGCAGACCAAGCTCAGAGTCAGTTCGCAAACTTGGCTGTGCTTGGCTGTTCCCTTCTCTGCCCACGTTGTTTATTTAAGGTACTGAGATAGTGTCTTTGAGTACTGATAAGTATGTTGAGTTTTCTTAAGACTAATTCAATGTTCTTGTACTTAAAAATTATATAGATGTTTCTGGAGTTCCTTTGATTTTGAGCACTTGCTTCCTTAAGCAGTATGTTTAGTTTTTACATTCAGTGCCCTTGAGATTAGAAGATTTTTTTGAGGAGACCTTGAGATATATTATTTCTCCTGAAACTCCCATTTTTACTGGTTGTGCCCTTTTTTTTTGTTAGAAATGTTTTGGCCACTGGCATTCTTTCCCGAAGAGGGGCCAAATACATGTTTTCACTGCAGTAAATAGCCTTTTATTTGGCAATGGATGTCTGGCTTAACATTGTTTGTAAAATTATAATTACAAAAAGGCCTATAGGCTTAGTGCCTGTGGCTCAAGCGGCTAAGGCGCCAGCCACATACACCTAAGGTTGTGGGTTCGAATCCAGCCCGGGCCCGCCAAAATAACAATGATGGCTGCAACCAAAAAATAGCCAGGCGTTGTGGCGGGCGCCTCTGGTCCCAGCTATTTGGGAGGTGGAGGCAGGAGACTCGCTTGAGCCCAGGAGTTGGAGGTTGCTGTGAGCTGTGATGCCATGGCACTCTACCCAGGGAGACAGCTTGAGGCTCTGTCTCAAAAAAAAAAAACAAAAGCAAAAACAGAAAGGCTTATATTAAAAAATATAATTAAAACAAGGCTGTCTAGAAAGTTGCTTTTTAAGTTTTTCTGTGTATTTGGGAATCATACAACATTAGCATTAGAAAGGGCTGTATGATCTAATAGATTTTACAGAAACTTTTGTAAACCACAGAAGGTAACCGGCACGCCTGTGGCTGGTGAGAAGCTGCTTGGGTAGACTCGAGCTCCTGACGAGTGGAGATCTTCCAGGACTCTACCCTGGCCAGATACTGACTGTGTGTGGGAAGTCTGGGATACTACACTTTCTAAGAGTTCTTTTAATGAAAAATAAATGTATGCATCTAAGATGCTAAGTATTTTCTATGTCTGTAATGCATGCCTTGCTTGAAGGATGGAGGTAAATGGTGTGTTTATCATTCTTTACCTGAAGACGATGTGATTTCTTCACATTTATTTTAGAACGTCCAGTTGCTGATAATGAGCGAATGTTTGATGTTCTTCAACGATTTGGAAGTCAGAGGAATGAAGTTCATTTCTTCCTTCGTCATGAACGCCCCCCCAGCAGGGACATTGGTGGGTACCATTCTGTGAATCATGACAGACACACGAGCTTCCATTTGTCCATTGGAGTAGATGGGAGTAGTAGGGGGCACAGACGAGGAGCCAGGTGATGTGAGAGGTGGAGGAGAGATTAGGAGGTTGTTTGCAGAGGGGAGAAGTTTGCGTATAGTTTTTTAATGTAGGTGGCAGGAGTAGAGCAGGTGGTTGAGACTTTAAGAAAGAAAGGGAATACTTGATAGGCCAAGGAAGTGTTTCCGTAGTCCTGATGAAGAGATTAGATTCCTCTTCTGTTGTGACAAGACAGTAGGCAACTGTGACAGATGGAATTAAGTTTATGCATTTTGTGGGAGTCATTTGAGGAAATTTTCATCTGGAAACATTTTTGTCTCTGAAGTGGGAGGCAGAGTCATCTCAAGTGGTAGTCGCGGAGGTGGGTGGGAGTTGAGCTGTGTGGAGAAAAGGAGAGGTGCTTCCTGGGGAAGGCTGGCACTGGGGGCTGCCGTGCCTGGTGAGGCTGGGGACCAGCATACCGCAGAGGAGTCTTCTTCAGTGAACAGGTGCAGTGAGAGGAGGTGAGTGAAAGAGGCAGATTGAAAGGAGATTGTGGTCCAGAGGGAGAATGTTTGAATTGGAAATTTCAGAAGTAGAGTGCGATAGACCCACAGACGAACTGAGAGGCTGGCGTTTAGTTGGTAAAGTCGTCTAGGATGAAGGCAGGCCTTGGAGGTAGAGAGAAGAAGGGACTCAGTTGGCTGCCTCTTTAGTGACTAGGGATTGTGACCAGCTATAGTTGACAATAAGAGTTTGGAGAGTGCTGAAAGTAGCACTAGACATTGGGGACACAGCTGTCCTGTGGGATGGAAGTCTGATAGGATGAGGGGGAATGAGCAGCTTCAGAGCTGAGATCCACCGGGAGGCTCTGTTCTCAGTGGGAAGTCATGGACAGTGAAGTAAGATTACTGTGTATTCCTAAAAATGTAGTTTTTAAAATGGAAAGTTAAGGGTAATTTGTGACTTCCACATGATTCTTAGGAGTAAGAATGTGGGTAACGGATGTTAGTTATTGAATGGTATAAAAATCTCAGTTTTATTTCTATTGCTTTAATACAAGTGTCCATATAGTACCTGACCATTAAAAGCAATTAAATTTAGAATATGGGATGGCGCCCGTAGCTCACTGGGTAGGGTGCTGACCACATACACCGAGACTGGCAAGTTTGAACCTGGCCCAGGCCAGCTAAAAAGCAATGACAGCTGTAACAAAAAAATTGTTGGGTGTTGTGGCGGGCGCCAGTAGTCCCAGCTACTTGGGAAGCTGAGGCAAAAGAATCACTTGAGCCTAAGAGTTTGAGGTTGCTGTGAGCTGTGATGCCACTGCACTCTACCCAGGGTGACAGCTTGAGACTCTGTCTCAAAAAAAAAAAAAAAAATTTAGAATATAGGTGGGGGTAGAGGGCAGAATTGACTTAGTCTGGCCCTGTCTACTCCACAGATGAGAAATGCTGATTGGTCCTGAGGGGTTAAGTGACTTGTCAGAGGCCACACACCTGAGGCAGAGCTAGGAGTGGAACCTGAATCACCCCGACTGGCTACCTAGTTGCCTTTCGGTATCTCTGGTGTCTGTAACTGTATTTTAAGTAATCATGTATTTTTTTCCCTAGGACCTTTTTTGTATTAATAGTTTTAAATTGGCATTTGCATCTGATTTTTATTTTGTTTTTTACTTACATTGCATACATCCTTTTCTAATTAATGAGTTGAATTTTACCCTTTCATCTACCAGTTCAGATATCTTGCTGTATAGTACTGAGTAAATTATTAAATAGTCTCTCAATAGTGCAATATGCAGTTTCACTGGGTTTGTAACGTGAGAAATATAATCTGAAGATAAAGAAGTGTTTTCACCATGTTGCTGAACACCAGTGCCACGCAGTGTTGAAATTGGGGTAAAACAGGATTGCTTTCCAGTTTCCATCAGTAAACGAAATAGTTCTCTCTTTTCGGTTTAGACAAGTAGGTTAAGGATTATGACTATATTCTTTATTCAATTTAATTAGGATCCATGACCCAGAATGTATATGAAATTATTTTAAAGCTCTTACTTTTTATTCTAATTGTGTAACTGATTATACAAAGGAGAGATTATACAAAGGAGAGATTGTCTCTTTGAGGCAACAAAGAAGGCAATTATTCTTAAATTATAAATTTTTTTTTCAGAAATATTGTGACAGATTACTTGAGTTATTTTGTCAGTGTTGAGTAGTATTTATAAAATAAAGCTGATGTGTTAGAATTAGGTGTAAGTGTGATCCTTGGCTCTGAGATAGACATGTTTATTTACTGGCATGGGAATTTGTGCTAAGATTCTTGGAAGGTATCGTAGATAATGGATTCAAAAGAAATTTTGTTCTAAAGTTTCTTAAGAGGTAATTTGATAATTATTTTAATTTCCAGGAAGTACAGGTGTGAGCTCACCTGTACTTCCATTTCATGGACTTAAAAAATTCTCTTGTTGATATTTTTTATTTCTTCTATTAGTTTAAGACTTTTCTATTTATGATGCATTAAGTAATACTGAGAGACCCATTTATTTTGGCTTGAAATATTCTTTTAGCCAAAAAGTCAGAATATAGTGTTTTTTGGTCAGTACTTTCCCAAACTAAGCAAACAGCCATTTTTTTTTCTTAGAAATGAGGAAGTACTTCATAGTACTTACAATTATTACAAAATGTCCTTAGTAAACCAAGTAATCAAAATGTTCAACTTTCAAGTGTTTCCTTCCCATAATAGATTAAAAACACTGTTAATGAGTACAAGGATAGGTTGATTGAATTTTCGGTTGTTTCTTTTAGTGAAGCTCTTGATTTTGCTCCTGAGTAGCTAAATAGAGAACTAGGAGGAACAGCTGTACACAAATGCTGTGAATTACCTGTAGTCAGAAGTGCACTTTGTTAATATTTCCTTCTTTGATACGTGGATTAGGCAGGTTTCCTCAGGAATAGGTGGCATGTGATATTTTTCCCATCCAAGTACTAACCAGACCTGACCCTGCTTAGCTCCCAAGAGCAGATAAGATCTGGCACATTCAGAGTGCTTTGGCTGTAAATAAATAGTGCTAACTATTCACTGTTCCATGTAATTGATTTTCCAAAAGAGGCTGAATTGGGTGATACTCCACTGACATTAGAAAATATTTTGTATACTTTTGGGGCTCGGCACCCAGTAGTTACAGTGCCAGCCACATATAAAGAGGCTGGTGGGTTCAAACCCGGCCCGGGCCAGCTAAAACAACGACAACAGCAACAAAAAGTAGCTGGGTGTTGTGGCGGGTGCCTGTAGTCCTAGCTACTTGGGAGGTTTAAGCCCAAGAGTTTGAGGTTGCTGTAAGCTGTGATGCCATGGTACTCTACCAAGGGTGACATAGTGAGACTCTGTCTCAAAAAAAAAAAAAAAAACCAAAAAAACATATACACACACACACACACTCTTTCAGGCTGGGCGCTGTGACTAATGCCTATAATCTCAGCACTCTGGGAGGCTGAGGTGGGCAGATCACCTGAGCTCTTGAGTTCAAGGCCAGCCTGAGCTAGACTGAGGACACCCCACCCCCACCCCCTATCTCTAAAACTAGCCAGGCACTGCAACAAAAAATAGCTGGGTGTTGTGGCAGGCACCTGTAGTCCCAGTTACTTGGGAGGCTGAGGCAAGAGAATCACCTGAGCCCAAGAGTCTGAGGTTGCTGTGAGCTGTGACGCCAGGTCCCTCTACTGAGGGCCATATAGTGAGACTCTATCTCAAAATAAAATAAAATATACTTTCAAATATATGGTAACAGAATTCAGAAATGAACTGTACTTGAGATATCTTTCAAATCTGGTGTTAATATGTAGTTTTTGAATTTTATACTTAGTGAGTGGACCAAGATCTCAGGATCCCAGTTTAAAAAGAAATGGTGTAAAAGCTTCTGCTGAACCTCGAAGAAAAGAGAACGGCGTAAGTGCTTGTTTTTAATCCATACTCTGTACCCCAATGATGTGGCTTTTTAAACTGAAAATACAGATTAGCTGTATTTATGTAAGTGGAAACCTTCCGTGTGTACTTTTTGTCTGATTTCACTCAGCATGATTATTTTGATGTTCATCTGTTACTGTATATGCCACTAGTTAGGTCCTTATGTTGCTGAGAGTCTTTGGATATTTATAGTTTTTTATCCATTCACCTGTTGATGGACATTTAGGTTGTTTCTAGTCTTTGGCTAGTCCATATCAAGCTACTATAAGTATTTGGGTATAAGTTCTTTATATGGACATATGTTTTTAATTCCTCTTGAGCAAATACTTATGAGTAGAATAGCTGGGTCATTTGGTATGTGTATGTTAATTGTTTTTCAGTTTTTGGGCAGGGCTAGGTTTGAACCCACCACCTCTGGTACATGGGGCCCGTGCCCTACTCCTTGAGCCCCAGATGCTGCCCTGTTGTTGCAATTTTTTTTTTTAAGAGACAGAGACTTACTTTGTCATCCTCAGCAGGGCGCTGTGGCATCACAGTTCACAGCAACCTCCAGCTCTTAGGCTCAGGTGATTCTCCTGCCCCTGCCTTCTGAGTAGCTGGGACTACAGGTGCCCACAACAACACCCAGCTATTTTTTGGTTGTAGTTGTCATTGTTGTTTGGCAGACCCAGGCTGGATTTGAACCCAGTGTTACGTGGCTAGAGCCCTAGCTGCTAAGCTGCAGGTGCTGAGCCACTTTCCATTTATTTGGATCTTCTTTCTCCCATCAGTGTTTTGAAATTTTCATGTATAAATCTTGTGCATTTATTAAATTTATCTCTATTTAATATTTTTGATACCATTATAAGTGGTATTTTAAAAGAAATTTTAATTTATTATTTTTAATATATAGAAACAATTGATTTCTGCAGTCTGTAATCCTGAAATATTGTTATATAATTTATTAGTTCTGGTAGGTTTATTTTTGTTTTGTTTTGTTTTTGGTTTCCTTGCATTCCAAGTTCTGGTAGCTTTTTTGTGGATTCCATAGTATTTTCTTCATAGATGATTTTGTTTTCTATGAATAAAAGCACTTTAACTTCTTTCTTGCCAATCCGGCTGCCATTTATTTCTTGTTCTTAGTTTATTGCATTGTCTAAAACCTCTAGGACAATATTGAGTAGGTGTTGTGAGAGTGGATGTTCTTGCTTTTTTCCTGAGGATTCAGTGTATCTTATTTATTTATTTATTTATTTTTTGGGACTCAGTGTATCTTGATTTTTGTTTTTGTTTTCTTTCTTTTTGAGACAGTGTCTTGCTCTTTCACTCCAAGTAGAGTACAATAGCAACATCATAGCTCACTGCAGCCTCAAACTTCTGGGCTCAGCCTTGTCCTGCCACCCTCCTGCGTCAGCCTCCTGAGAAGCTGATATTAACCACAACAGCTGGTTAATTTTTCTATTTTTAGTAGAGATGGGGGTCTCATTCTTGTTCAGGCTGGTCTCAAATCCCTACCCTCAAGCAGTCCTCCTGCCTCGGCCTCCTAGTGTGCTAGGATTACAAATGTGAGCCACTGTGCCGGGCCTGAAAATAGTATACATTTGTCTGTCCTATATCTTGAAGTTTTTAGTGCTATTATATTTTTAAATTATGTTCTGATGGTTGCATTCTGGATTTGCTGCCAATGCCTCCATACCATGCCCTAGTATAAATTAACTATAGAACAAAATTGTTCTAAATTGTTCCATTTATGTCCTTAACTGTTGAAACTAATTTTAAATTTAAAAGATTGGGCTCAGTGCCTGTGGCTCAAGTGGCTAAGGTGCCAGCCACATACCCCTAAAGTGGCGGGTGGCAGGTTCGAATGATGGCTGCAACCAAATAATAGCCTGGTGTTGTGGCAGGCACCTGTGGTCCCAGTTACTTGGGAGGCAGAGACAGGAGACTTGCTTGAGCCCAGGAGTTGGAGATTGCTGTGAGCTGTGATGTCACAGCACTCTATCCAGGAGAATAGCTTGAGGCTCTGTCTCAAAAAAAAAAAAAAATTAAAAGATTGTTGATCTGTATAAACAGACCTATGGGGGAGGAATCGCTATGATCATTTTATAGTAAGTTGGATTGTATTTGTTTGTGTTTTTATTTGCAGGTTAATAGTCCTAGGATGGATTTGACTCTTGCTGAACTTCAGGAAATGGCATCTCGCCAGCAGCAACAGATTGAGGCCCAGCAACAAATGCTGGCTACTAAGGTAGCGTCTTCTTTTAAAAAACATAACAGGCTCAGCACCTGTGGCTCAAGTGGCTAAGGCACCAGCCACATACACCTAAGGTGTCGGGTTCGAATCCAGCCCGGGCCTGCCAAACAACAATGACGGCTGCAACCAAAAAATAGCTGGGTATTGTGGCGGGCGCCTGTGGTCCCAGCTACTTGGGAGGCTGAGGCAGGAGACTCGCTTGCGCCCAGGAGTTGGAGGTTGCTGTGAGCTGTGATGCCATGGCACTCTACCCAGGGTGACAGCTTGAGGCTCTGTCTCAAAAAAAAAAACCATAACAGGCTACTATTGTTTATGTGTGTGTAAAGTTGTTTAGATTCTCCCTTCATTATTAAGCCACTTACTTCACAGATACAAGTTGATATTATTAACCTAAAAGTCACCTGCTGTGGGCAGCGCCTGTGACTCAAAGGAGTAGGGTGCTGGCTCCATATACCAGAGGTGGCAGGTTCAAACCTGGCCCTGGCCAAAAACTGCAAAAAAAAAATAAAAAAAGTCACCTGCTGTTTGGTGACTACCCTTACTACAGCATTTTGTAAAAATCCTTTTATTATCCTAATTGTTCTAATATCTTTCTGACTGCTGACTCTGTTCGAAGTTATAACCATGCTGTCTGCTAGGTATCAGCCAAACAGGAGAGGTATAAAGAGCCCTTCATCTTTGTTACTAGGAATTACTCTGGGCTATTGATACCGGAATTTCGCTCTTCAGTAGGTTCTTGGTCTCGGTGAGTCGAAGAATGAATCCGCGGACCACAGATCAGTGACAAGACAGGATTTATTTACAGAAAAGAATACAGAAGTGTCAGAGCTTCCTGGAGGGAGAGAAAACCCAAGTCAGGAGAGAAAAGCTCTCTCTTTTTGCAGTTTTTTTTTTCTTTGGCTAGGGTCAGGTTTGAACTCACCACGTCCAGTATATGGGGCCAGTGCCCTACTCCTTGAGCCACAGGCGTCGCCCAGAAAACAAACCTACCTACCTACCTCCCTCCCTGGTGGGGCAGGGCTTGCTAGTTACATTTAGTGTGTCTGGGTCATGTCTGGCCCTCAGTAGTTACATTTACTGGGGCTTGGTAGTTAGATTTAGCATGTCTGGGGCATGTCTGGGTTGTGTTTGGGTTGCAAATGAATGGCTACAATCGTCCCCCATGCCCACTCCCTAGCCCACTGGTTCCGCTGCTTGCTGCCACCATACCAGCATCACCAAGGTGGAGGCAGCCGGTCCGTGCCCCCCAGCTCCACAAGCTGGCTGGGATGCCACTTGTCCTGTATCACTATCGCGGGAGAAATTTTAAAGTTCAGTAATGGTGGTATTGTCCTCTTCTGCTGCTTGGTATTGGTACCAGCCTGCTTGCCTTCATTTAGGCATATTCTTCACCCACAATTTTATCCTAGGTCTGGCCTCTGACAGGAAGAATATGAGAAGCCGCTCTGTTACTCTCAGAACCAGTCTCACTGCTGCTGCTTCCGCTAGCCATAAGCTTCTAATTCAGCAGTTCTCAACCTGTGGGTCGCGACCCCTTTGTAACAATGAAAATACATCCTATGTATCAGATATTTACATTACGATTCATAACAGGAGCAAAATTACAGTTAGGAAGTAGCAACAAAATAGTTTTATGGTTGGGGCTCACCACAACATGAGGAACTATATTAAAGGGTCATGGCATTACGAGGCATAAGGAACGTTGAGAACCATTTAAACCAGCTGCAATCACACGTATCTCTGTAAAGGGCTGCATGCAGATATTTTGGACTTTGCAAGCACTGCTGCCTCTGTTGCAACTACTCAACTGGGCAGTTGTAAACAGCTACAGGTGATATATAAACAAATAGATGTGGCTATGTTCCAATAAAACTTTATGTACAAAAGCACATAGCAAGCCGGACTTGGCCTGTGAGTTGCAGTTTCTCAGCCTCTCGTCTAAACACCCATTATCTACAACTGACCATTCCTTTAGTGACTGTAAGTTCCCTGAAGATGGAGTAGATGATGGATGATTTGACATGGCATGTGACCTAATGGGACTTTGAAATAATGGCCAAGGGTTCTTTAAGACAGTTCTGAACATATACCATGGACATCCATGTAATATTCCCTAGGGTTCCTCTGTATCCATTTCTGTTTGTGGTACCAAAAACTTTTTCAAAATCGTGTATCATTCAAATTTCAATATGCATGTGAATCATCTAGGGATCTTGTTTTAAATGGATATTCTGATTCAGTAAGTATGGGTTAGGGGAGTGATTTTCAATTGGTGTGCCCTGAGAGGATCTTGGCTATGCCACAAACGTTTTTAAAGATCATTAATGAATTAGTAATAATTATTAGTTTTTAGAGACAGAGTCTCACTTTGTTGCCCTTGGTAGAGTGCTGTGGCATCACAGCTACAGCAACCTCCAGCTTTTGGGCTTAGGCAATTCTCTTGCCTCAGCCTCCCAAGTAGCTGGGACTACAGGCGCCTGCCACAGTGTCCAGTTATTTTTTTGTTGCAGTTTGGCCAGCACTGGGTTTGAACCCACTACCCTCGGTATATGGGGCTAGCACCTTACTCATTGGTAAGTGGCTTAGTGTATGTGGCTGGCACTGTAACCACTGTGCTAAGGGCACTCATAGCCATAGATGCCGCCCTATTATTATTTTTTTTTTGAGACAGAATCTCACTATGTTGTCCTTGGTAGAGTGCTATGCATCACAGCTCATAGCAATCTCAAACTATTAGGCTTAAGCAATTCCCTTGCCTCAGCCTCCCAAATAGCTGGGCCTACAGGTTCCTGCCACACGCCCGGCTATTTTTTGTTGCAGTTGTCACTGATGTTTTGCTGGCCTGGGCTGGGTTCAAACCTGCCAGCTTTAGTGTATGTGGCTGGTACCGTAACCACTGTGCTAAGGGCACCGAGCCTGAAATTATTTTTGAAAGAAGTTCAGAGCATAGTAAGTATATTCTTTTTTTTAACTCCTTTTTTTGATCAACATAATTTACATGTGCCATGGAAGTTTAACTGTCAGTTCAAGTGTGTGTGAGGTAAAAAAGGTTGAAAAATACTGGATTAGGGTTTCAGAGTCTGCATTTCCTTTTTTCTTTTCTTTTCTTTCCTTTTTTTTTTTTTTTGTTGTTGTTGAAACAGTCCTACTCTGTCACCCTGGGTAAAGTGGTGTGATGTCAGCTTACTGCAACCTCAGACGCCCTAGCTCAAGTGATCTTTCTGCCACAGCCTCTGAGTAGCTGGGACTGTAGGCATGTGCTGTGATGCTTGGCAGATTGGTTTTTTTTTTTTTTTTTTTTTTGCAGTTTTTGGCCAGGGCTGGGTTTGAACCCACTACCTCCAGCATATGGGGCTAGTGCCCCACTCCTTTGAGCTACAGGTGCCTCCCTGGTTTTTACATTTTATTTTTTGTGGAGATGCAATCTTACTTTTGGTCAGGTAAGTCTTAAATTCTTGAGTTCAAGGATTCTCTTGCCTCAGCCTTCCAGAGCCCTGAGATTCCAGGTGTGAGCCACCTGCCTGGCAGAGATGTTGTAGCTCTAACAAGCTCACAGGTGATACTGACATACCATTACATTAAGAGGGAGGCTATATAGAGAGGGTGCCCAAAGTCATATGCACATTTTAAGAAAGGAGGGGCAGCATGTGTGGCTCAGTGAGTAAGGCACTGGCTCCATGTCCTGAGGGTGGTGAGTTCAAACCCGGCCCTGGCCAAACTGCAACAACAAAAAATAGCCGGGCGTTGTGGTGGGCACCTGTAGTCCCAGCTACTCTGGAGGCTGAGGCAAGAGAATTGCCTGAGCCCAGGAGTTGGAGGTTGCTGTGAGCTGTGATGCCACGGCACTCTACCTAGGGTGATAAAGTGAGACTCTGTCTCTAAAAAAATAAATAAGTAAATAAAAAGGAACAAACTGTTTAAAATTGTAATACTCAGAATATACTGATAGTGTTTATTATTACGTATATTCTATCTCTTGTAATTGCAGGAGTCAAATGTGATTTGAATATTATAATTTTAAGACCGGTTTTCCCTTCCTTAAGGAGACATTTTTTTGACACCTTCTGTAGTGATACAAAAAGGAGGTTGTTACAGAATAAATCTCTAACCCCAGAGTCTTTATTTTGAAATTATTTCCATGTTATTTATATGCTTAGGCATTGTGATCTAAGAAGTAGTTCTGTTATTCATTTTTAGTTGGAAAAATTTCAGTTTTAAATTCTATAGTTTTCTAAAGGTGTTAAGCTCTCTGAGTTACCATTTATTAAATGCATGCTCTGTAAGCTGCTGCTCAAAGAAATTTACATTTTGCATTCCATTTAATTCTCACTGTGGTAACAGAGGTAGTTACTATTGATCAGCCTTATGTTATAGATAAAGAAACATAGATTTGTATATGTGGTGCAGTTACATGAATTTGTTCAAGGTCTCATCACTAATAAGTGGCAGAGCTTGGGTTTGAATGTAGATTTACTTCAAATTCCACTTTTTTTTTTTTTTTTTTTTTTTGAGACAGGAGCCTCAAGCTTCGCCCTGGGCAGAGTGCTGTGGCATCACAGCTCACAGCAACCTCTAACTCCTGGGCTCAAGCGAGTCTCCTGCCTCAGCCTCCCAAGTAGCTGGGACCACAGGCGCCCGCCACAATGCCCAGCTGTTTTTTGGTTGCAGCCATCATTGTTATTTGGCAGGTCCAGGCTGGATTCGAACCTGCCACCTTAGGTGTATGTGGCTGGCGCCTTAGCCACTTGTGCCACAGGCACCAAGTCAAATCCCACTTTCTTATACTACTGCTTATTCATACATGAACTTCTTAAAGTTGTTGCAGACAGTTTATGTAAACTGGCCCAGTAAGGTGGCTCACATTTGTAATCTCAGCACTTTGGGAGGTGAAGGCAAGAGGATGGCTTGAGGCCAGGAGTTCAGGATAGCCTGTGCAGCATGATGAAACCCTGTCTCCACACAAACTCCCCAAAATTAGTAGGGTGTGTTGGTGTGTGCCTGTAGTCCCAGGTACCTGGGAGGCTGAGCTGGGAAGGTCCCTAAAGCCCAGAAGTTCAAGGTCACAGTGAGCTATGATTACACCACTGCCCTCCAGCCTGGGCAACAGAATAAGACCCTGTCTCTATAAAAAAAAAGAAGAAGAAGAAGAAAACTAGCTCAAGTTCACTGCTTCCTTGCTATGTAAGAACTGCTGGGATTGAAAATACAGATTCCTGGATCTTATCTCTAAGAGATTTGGGGATAGGTTCAGAGTGTCTATTATGAGCAAACTCCAGTGTATTTCTGATGGCAATATGTAGGACAGAGGATGAGACCCAGAGCGGAGTTGTAAGTGTACCTCAGTCTCAGCACCTGTAGGTTGTGGTCAGATTATTTTGAGGTTAGGGGTATACCTGCTTAAAACAATACACCTAATGATTGCTTTTATCCTTAGGAACAACGTTTAAAGTTTTTGAAACAACAAGATCAGCGTCAGCAGCAACAAGCTGCTGAGCAGGAGAAGCTTAAGCGACTGAAGGAAATAGCTGAGAGTCAGGAAGCTAAGCTAAAAAAAGTGAGGGCTCTGAAAGGCCGTGTGGAGCAGAAGAGGCTGAGCAACGGGAAGCTCGGTGAGCTGCTCGCAGGAGATTTACTCTAATACCTGAGGCTGCATGTTAAATTTTGGGGTATAAAAGATCACCTTGGTGTAATAAGTTTATATAAATTAGTCATAAGGAGAATAAAGTGACTCTTCGTAGATAACTTTGACAGAAATTCTTAGAAAAGTATAATTCACTGAAATTTTGATGCTTCTGGTTTTTCTGACTTGAATTCAGCTGTTAAATGTTTTAGATAAGATTTCTAAGATACCTTTGGAATATATAGTAACAGTAGTTTTTTCTTTCTCTAAATATTTTTAGAGAAAATAAACTGAAACAAACAGTGAAAATTTGAAGGATTTTTATTCGTGTTAACTCCATCTATTACAATGCCATTTTAAGCAAAATTTTAGGGAATTCATAGTTCCATATACCATTATAAAATTGAAAAGAAGGTCTAAAGAAATTTCATTGTTTCTAAAATTTGTAGTTTGATATTTAATAATCATAATACAAATTCTGATAAAAGTTACATTGAGACACAAGGACAGCACAGACATTTAGAGATATCTGAGTTGATTTCAGTTTTTTTGAAAATAAACAGGCTGGCTCTAAGATGTTCTGAAAAATTTGTCAACTTTTTATTAGAAAGTTTATTATAAAGCTTGGTTGCCTGGGAAGTCATCAGTTTTTGTTTTTTCGACGATTGTTTCTATTCTCTCTCTCTCATTCTAGTGGAGGAAATTGAACAGATGAATAGTTTGTTCCAGCAGAAACAGAGGGAGCTCGTTCTGGCTGTGTCAAAAGTAGAGGAACTGACAAGACAGCTGGAGATGCTCAAGAATGGCAGGATCGACGGCCACCACGATAACCAGTCTGCTGTGGCGGAGCTGGATCGTCTCTACAAGGAGCTGCAGGTACACCATAGCCGTTTCCTCATACCACGCAGCCTCCTCTCCAAGGACAGAATCTGTGGGAAGTGCTGGATTTGTTGCTTTTCCTGAAGGGGGCGAGGGCATGTGTGGGGAGAACCTAAACGCCACAGAATCTAGAATAAACTTTCTAGTGCCTCAGACAGGAAATTGAGGCATTCCTCATAACCACAGCCGGTGGTCTAGCAGATGTCACTTAATTTTAAACCGTGAGATGAGAAGTGTGGATGGAGAGGAAGGACCTGACGTTTTTAGAAATTGTACAATAGTTAACCGTGTGGTTATCTGTTTGAATGATTTTTCTTCCTCCTCTTTGGCTACTTCTCCCCCACGCCCCCCCCACTTGTTTTATTCAGTTAAGAAACAAATTGAATCAAGAGCAGAATGCCAAGCTACAACAACAGAGAGAGTGTTTGAACAAGCGTAATTCAGAAGTGGCAGTCATGGATAAGCGTGTTAATGAGCTGAGGGACCGGCTCTGGAAGAAGAAGGCAGCTCTACAGCAAAAAGAAAACCTACCAGTAAGTGGGCTGTTTTGTAATACGTGGGGGAGGAGGGAAAAAACGCAACCAGCCCAGTGAGGTCAGTTATTCGTAAGCAGCTTCTTTAGTCCTTACTCTGTGCCCTCAGAAAACAGAGACAGTGCTTATGGATCCTCCAGAGATAATCCACTGCTTTTTAACTTTTCGATGTTGCTATCTATGTGGCTCTTTCTTTCTAATGCTTGTAATAAAGTGTGGGTGAGAATTTATTGAGAAGTGTTTTTATTTTGGAATATTTCTTGTGGGTTTTCTGGCTAGACTCTGAAAGTGCTTACTTAAAAGAATTATGAAAATTTTACAGCTCTTTGTGAGTTCCATCTTCCACTATGACTTTTAATACTAAAGGACCTGTGCTTTTCCCTTAAGGCTTCATCTGATGGAAATCTTCCCCAGCAAGCGGTATCAGCCCCAAGCCGTGTGGCTGCGGTAGGACCCTATATCCAGTCCTCTACTATGCCACGGATGCCCTCAAGGCCTGAACTGCTGGTGAAGCCGGCCCTCACAGATGGTTCCTTGGTCATGCAGACTTCAGAGGGGCCGATGAAAATACAGACACTGCCCAATATGAGGTCGGGGGCTGCTTCCCAAACTAAAGGTAAAAACATGTTATTTCTAATTCCTTAATAGTTTAGTTCTTTCCCATCCTGACTATTCTTTTTCCCAAGTTTGAGTTAAAAAAAAAATTTTTGTCCTTGTATTCATTGTTTTTGTTTAAATTCTACACATTCCTTTGTATTCTTTGCTACTGCAATAAGTTTTAATATTTCTAATTTTTTAATTGATAGATCATAGTGATAAGTTTTTTTAATCCTAAATAATATAATTCTACTCAGGAAATGAAATATATTTTTGCAAATCTGAAAATTGTTTTCAAAAGTTCCTTCTTGTTATTAAGGACATTTTGATCTGATGTTATTAATAATTTGAGAACTTTTAGTTGTGTTGTCTTTGCAAAATGTGAGGTTGTGAATCTGTTCCATTGATGAATGGTGTTAAATACTCATCTATGCTCATATACATGAGAATTTGCTGATAATTTTAAAAATAAAAGTAAACATATTGTGCGATTAAAAGTGAAAATAACAAAGGCTGTTTGTGTTAGTGATTTTTGCATTCTGTGTAGTCTTCAGATACGTGGGGAGGGACACGCTAGAGTTTTGTGACAGGAGGAGAAAATGAAGGGAGACCTACAGGAAAAGCAGGACGCAACGCCCATTAATGACCTTGCCCTCCAGACCCCGGAGGGAGAAGTAGGAGTGAAAGTAACAGTCTCTTTCCTACAATCATTGTCAGATGCAAGAAATAACTAATTTTAAAAGTATTCACTATTTTGCCATAATTACTTCTGTGATATAATAGTGGCATGTAGTCTGGATTTTATTGTAGAAACTTATATTTATTTTTGTTTCTATAAGAAAAAATAAAAGCTGTGGCTTTTAAAATTAGTTAAAACCTGAATATACTGATTTGGGGAAGACCGTGGTTGAAGTCATGGGTTACAAGTCCCCACATTTGCCCTTTTTTGCATGTGCATCGCTGAAGTTAATGTATTGGATATACCATAGACCTTGAGGTCTGCTGAATTCAAACTCATTTTCTGGGTGTGACGGTGACATTTTCTAACACCAAGGAATAAAGTGTTTTTACTGGTTCAAGCAGACTTTCTATTTGCTATGACTAATGTTAAATTGCTTGAGTAAGGTGGTAGAATCTGAGAAATAGAGAATCTAATACAGCATTTTCTAAGTGCATTTACTGGGATAAAAGTAAAGGAATTTTTACTGGAAATTCCTTTACTGGAATTTAAAGCTGTTTTTAGAAATTAAAAGTCTTTGCAAGTAAGATTAACCATTAAAAATCTGTTTAGAATGTTGAATTATTTATAGCTGCTTTTCTATATTCCAGGCTCTAAAATGCACTCATTCGGTCCTGATTGGAGCCCTTCCAATGCAGATCTTTTCCAAAACCAAAGCTCAGCTTCTGTACCTCAGAGTGCTGGGAATACTCTGGACCAAGGTGAGGTTTGTTTGTGCTACTCCTGAACATTATACTTTTATCATCTAGCACTCTGGGAGGCTGAGGCGAGTGGATTGCCTGAGCTCAGGAGTTCAAGACCAGCCTGAACAAGAGTGAGACCTGTCTCTAAAAATAGCTGGGTGTTGTGGGTGCCTGGAGTCCCAGCTATTCAGGAGGCTGAGGCAAAAGAATTGTTTGAGTCCAAGAGGCAAAAGAATTGCTTGAGTCCAAGAGTTTGAGGTTGCTGTGAGTTACGACACCAAGACATTCAACCCCAGGGTGACTGAGACCCTGTCTCAAAAAAAAAATTTTTTTTTTTTTGTTCATCATTTATAAGGCACTGTGTATTCTTTTTAGATAGTCCATTTTCTAGTGTATTCAACTAAGTATGTAACAGTATTTATTTCACCTTCATTTAGCTGGGGAATTAGTGTTTGAGTTATTTTTATACCACTTTAATTTAAAAATAGGAAAGTACTCAGTAAGTATAGAGTTTCAGAGAGATAAACTTTTCAGCAAATAAGAAATTTTATTCTAAACAGTTGGAGTATCATTGTGATTTTTTTTTCCTGTCTTCAGTTGATGATGGAGAGGTTCCACTGAGGGAGAAAGAAAAAAAAGTGCGTCCCTTTTCAATGTTTGACACGGTAGACCAGTCTGCTGCCCCACCCTCCCTCGGTACTCTGAGGAAGAACCAGAGCAGTGAAGACATCTTGCGGGATGCCCAGGTACTTAAGAATATCCTGGTTTTTAAACTTTAATGGTCATTTTGTGATGCCATTTTTAGGAAGGATTAAGTATTATGTGAGGGATAGTAGAGGAACCAATATATCTGGAAGGATACAAACTGTAACAGTATTGTATGTGTTATTTTAGTTTCTCTTGCTGGAGCCTGTGCTCTCACACCACACTGGGGGAAGGCTGACATACTTGCTTCTGGGTCATTTTGTGTCTCTCTCTAAAATAGGTGCTAAAGAACATTCTATTTGTGCTGTTCATGTATCTTATTTCTTCAAAATTTGGAGCTGAGGTTATGCCCAATGATTTGATAGTAAATCTATAAATTTTGGATCTTAACCTTTGCTAACTAGGTTATGGGCGAGTTCTCCAAGTCAGGTGTTTTTTGCCACAGTGGTCTAGATTTCATGAAGTTCTGATGAGCAAGAATGTTTTTGTTCATTGGTGCCATCTGTGAATATGAAAGATGGCAGCTAAAAGTTTTCAAGCAGGCACTTACAGTTGCCCAGATAAGAAGTGGAAACGAGGAGAAAGTCATATAAGGGACAGATTGTATTGCATTAGTGAAATCCTGTATTAAATATGATTACATACAGACATTTTAACAATTTGAAAATGTAGATCTAATATTTTTATAGTGTATGCTTGTATTTGTGAAATGAGGTTATGCATAGCATTCTATATATACCCAGTTATTCAGTGTTTTTTTTTTTAATTCAGTGTTTTAACTGGCTTTTGCATATGTGTGTGTATTACAGGCTTCCAATAAAAATGTAGTTAAAGTACCACCTCCTGTTCCTACCAAACCAAAACAGATTAATTTGCCTTATTTTGGACAAACTAATCAGTCACCTTCGGACATGAAGTCAGATGGAAATCCTCAGCAATTGCCAACAATGGTCATATCCATGGGAAGCCAGCCCCAGCCTGCAGGGCGGCCACCCAGAGCCCTGCTGCCATCCAGCGCGCCTGCACCTGGCCAAGAGCAAGCCCTTCCTCCGGGCTCAAAGCAGGAGAGTCCACCTGCTGCTGCTGTCCGGCCCTTCACTCCCCAGTCTTCCAAAGACACCCTACTTCCTCCCTTCAGAAAACCCCAGACTGTGGCAACAAGCTCGATATATTCCATGTATACACAGCATCAGGCTCCAGGGAAAAACTTCCAGCAGGCCGTGCAAAGTGCTTTGACCAAGACACATACCCGAGGGCCACACTTTTCCAGTGGTAAGGTTCTCCACCCTCATCGGTATTATGTTTAAATTCTGCACCAAAGCTGCAAAAATAATTTGGTCTCTAATTTGACCGATGTTCTAGGAATTTTGTTTACTTGTGGCTTCTGATTTTTATTGGGAGCTTAGAGTGCCTGCTTAATGTCAGCTACTTGAATAGGCACTGAAGATACTAGGTGAATGAAGTGTGTTCTCAGGTCTGAAGGAGCTCACAGGTGGGCGGAGAGCAAATTTGCATAGGTTGTTACAATTTAGCAGGCTGTGCCTTCACTGTAGGTTTAACCAGATGTTCTTGGCACATAGAGGATTAGACAGTTGCCCCTCTCTGTATGTTTTCTTCAGAAAGTAACAACACTCTACTGTATTTTAAGTTGTTCTATGAGGGCACGCCACTAATTGAATGTAAAAAGCGTAATAGCTTGTGTTAAACATATACATTCTGGAGATTTGTTGGGTTCTTCCTAAATTATAGTTCATAGGACTAGAATAAAATTGACCATGTTTTAATTGAATGAAAATGGATTTCTAGTCATGGAAAAAGCATGGTATTGGAACCTAAGATGTCTAATGGAAATTGGACAGCAAAGAATCAGTGTCTTACTGTCTCTTGTTCCTTTCTTTTTATGGGTCTTTGGTGAAAGCTGAATAATTTGGGAATTAGATAATTTTGATACAGTCAGTTTTGCTTTTCTTTGAGATAGAATCTCACTTTGTCACCCTTGTGGAGTGCCCTGATGTCCTAGCTCACAGAAACCTCAAACTTGGGCTTAAGCAATTCTCTTGCCTCAGCCTCCTTAGTAGCTGGGACTACAGGTGCCCACAGCAACACCCGGCTAGTTTTAGAGACAGAGTCTCACTCTTGCTTAGGCTGGTCTCAAACCTGTGAGCTCAGGGCAATCCACCTGCCTCAGCCTTCTGGTGTGCTAGGATTATAGGCATGAGCCACAACACCCGGCTGATACAGTCAGAATGTTAATTGGGCAGGGGGGAATATAAGTGGTTCTTAATAATTTTATGAGCCCGATACTTCTCATATTAATTCAGTTTTGAAAAGTGTGAAAGATAGGATAGTGCGTGTTTAATTTTAATCTGGACACATGAGAGGATTACCGATTTTCATTGGTTCTAAATGTTTTTTACATTTGGACATTTGGATGTTTCAAATTTGGATGCTACAGTCAATGATTTCTTAATAATTGGCAACATTTTATTACTGTTTCCTGAGATAATAGTGCGTGTTATAATCAGTAGGGGGTTTAATTCTGTAATTCTGTAATAGGTTTATTATACAAAGGTGGGACCCTTGCTTTATCATTTGTTATTTTTAAAAAATTATTTATATTTTAAGGGCATTATATAATAAAAACTATGAAATCAAAAGGGGCTTCAGTTATTGTTAGCTGTTTCTGTTTTTTGCCAGTTTTGTTTAATTAATGCTAATCAGGGCTTTTTCTTCTTCTTCTTTTTTTTCCTTTTCCAATTAGTATATGGCAAGCCTGTGATTGCTGCTGCCCAAAATCAACAACAGCACCCAGAGAACATTTATTCCTCCAGCCAGGGCAAGCCTGGCAGTCCAGAACCTGACACTGAACCAGTTTCCTCAGTTCAGGAGAACCATGAAAACGAAAGAATTCCTCGACCACTCAGCCCAACCAAATTATTGCCTTTCTTATCTAATCCTTATCGAAACCAGAGTGATGCTGACTTAGAAGCCCTACGAAAGAAATTGTCTAATGCACCAAGGCCACTAAAGAAACGTAGTTCTATTACAGAGCCAGAAGGTCCTAATGGGCCCAATATTCAGAAACTTTTGTACCAGAGGACCACTCTTGCTGCCATGGAGACCATCTCTGTCCCATCGTACCCATCTAAGTCAGCTTCACTGATTGCCAGCTCAGAAAGCCCAGTGGAAATCCCAAATCCATATTTACATGTAGAGCCCCAGAAGGAAGTGGTCTCTCTGATTCCTGAACCATTGTCCCCAGAGGCTGTGGGGAGTGCCAGTCCAGAGAACAGTGACATGCCAATTCCTTCTTCAGGCCTTGATCGTGTGCCTGAAGGAGTCCCAGACAGTAGCTCTGATCTCCAGCAGAATGTGGAAGAACCAAATCCAGAGGCTCCCCGTCTGCTTGAGGTGTACCTGGAGGAGTACCCTCCCTACCCACCTCCACCGTACCCTTCTGGGGAACCTGAGGGGCCTGGAGAGGATGCTGTGAGCATGCGCCCCCCTGAGATCACTGGGCAGGTCTCTCTGCCCCCTGTAAGTAATGTGGCGTCTCACGGCCTTCTTGGGAGTCTTTTACCTTGTCATGGTCTTCTGGGTGCTCACACGCTTTTCCAGTTTGGCCATTTATTTTATAATTCCTTTGGCACAGAGTTGATCTTATAAATGTTCTCAAAATGCAATATATTCAATACAGAGAACATTTTTTGTACTTTAGACAGAAACCATTTCTTTGTGGAAGAAACAAGAGTTTTGTTCTTAGCCCTATAAACACCACAATCCTTGTGTCCTCTCTAGCTGATGTCATGTATTAGGAAAGCGTCACTCAGCTGGGACTGAAAGGCCTAGATTTGAAACTGTAGATCACTAGCTTAGCTGTGCAAAGTGAGGCAGATGGTGGAACATCCCTCATTGGTTATTTCTTCCTTTTTCAGTTTTTTCTAGCAGTAGAAATTATTTTTTAACAAAACAGGTGAAATGGCTCGGCGCCTATAGCTCAACCGGC